TGGGCAGAACTTAAAACAACAACAAGAAAAAAAAGAAATAATTAAATTAACAAGAAAGGTCTTGAGAAGCTCTATGCAGTGAAATATTGATACGGAGGCAATTGCTCTGTGTTTAATACAATAACTCGCCAAGATATCATAGGAAGGCAATACAGGAGATGAAAAATCGCTTACAGAAAAGAACCCCCCAGTAGTATTTACTTTTAAATATATGACGAGTTTCAGGAGAATTAGACTAAACGTGTGGGTTTGTTTCTCTTATGTGATCTTTGAATAGATTTAATAAAATATTTGAAGGAATGTTGAAGTCAAATCTATCCTTCTATAATGCAAACAAAGGCGCATGTCTCGTGGTTACTGAGAGGTTAATTAGGTGATCCTAAAAGAGAACTATTTTGGAGTAATCCGATATTTATTTATTTATTCTGATAAAATTATAGGTCTTTCTGTGTTTAGCACGGATATAATGCTGCACGGCGTATTTTGTGGGTGATGGTTTGGCAAAGGTGATCTGAATGTGACTGGATTCCCACAGAACAAAAAAAAAAAAAACAAAGGCCTTTGTTATTCTTTTCCATTAGTGAAAGAAGGAGGTCTGGCTCTTCATTTCTTTAGAAATTATCCCGTATAAAATTTAGACTATGAATATTAAAAGTGAAAGATCACACCCCAGGCACAGGGAAAGCGTGTATTCATAAAAAACTGCCTGAACGCAACGTGGTCCTCATTTGGAAGGGGCTTCCATCCCACCACTCCTCTGCTTGCAGGATTTACCACCAGCTCCTCTCTGCCTTCATCTATCAAACGTGGTTTGTAATTGTTCTCCAGAAATATCACCCGTATGTGGAATACAACAGTAACAAACGTTTTTATTGCAACAGGTTCTGCAGCATGGAAGAACATCCACAGTAAGTAACCTTTTATTTCTCGTAGTTTATGTTATTCGAAAATCCTGGTTCTTCCCTCCAGACCTAAAAAACCCGCAAACTATGATTCCTGATGGATATTTCTTCCTTCTCCTCCTCCACCACCCCTCCCCCCCCAAAAAAAGAAAGAAAAAAGAAAAAAAGAGAAAGTACTATGTCAGCATGGGAAGGTTCTTGTGGAGTCAGTTTGTGGTACCATGTCATAATCCTGGCTAGCATTAAAAGCAGAGGTGCAGTCTCCTGGGGGTTTATTACAGGGCTGTACAGGTGTCGTCCTGCTTTTAAGCACTCCAAAGCAATTAGCAGCGTTTCCATTTTAACTCGGCGGGACTGTACAGCGCCTCCCTGTGCAGAATCCAGACGGATCACGTTGTATCCCAGCACCTCATAACCTTGGCTACTCCCACTCTTTTCTGCAGACGGGATCCCAAGCAGAGCTGTGCCTGCTTTCTGCTGTTCCCCTCGTTTGGCACAGACGGGTGGCTGGGTGAAAGAGGCGGCAGGGGCTGGGGGCGGTCAGCGCTGGCGAGCCGGGGCAGCCCAGCTGCAGCCCGGTTCTGCGGGCAGTAGAGCTGATCTGCTGGTGCGAGAGGTCTCGGGGCAAGGGAGACTCTAACGTGGATTTAAATGCTGTGAAGGCACGGAATAGAATGGGTATCAGAGCTTAGCGGGGCAATCTTTTACTGTAGGGGTTTTCGCATCCCAGATGGTCCTGCCTGAGCTGCGCCAGGGGGACCGAGGGGAGGGCAGAAGATCAGTGTGCATCAGGAGCTGCTGTTGAACCTTTCTGGCCCCAGTGAGGAGCTGGGTGCATTGGTGCTGGTCCTCCAGGCTGAGACCGGCTTGTCTCTCAAAGAGGGAAAGAAAGACTGCGGTATTTGGAGATTCATTAGGTTGTACATCGCCCTTCCCGTTTCTGCCAGCCCGGCTCTGACCCGGAGCATGTGAAGGAGAGGAGTGTTTGCGTGTGTGTTTGTTTGCGTTTCCCCTCTTCCTCTCCCTGTTTCCTGATAAATAATCTATTTTCCCTGTGTGTGCCAAGCTTCTCCCGGTCCTTTTGTCTTCCATTGCAATATTGGTTTTCGAGTCCTATAAATACGAGCTAAAGAATCGCCTTCAGCGTTGCAATTTTAATTGTGTTCCATAGGTAACTTTCCTTCCCCCATAGCTCAGTCCTGTGCTACGTAGACGCCCTTGGCATTTTATTACAGGGTCGGCCCTAAATGTATGGATTACTTGTTTTCTGCCAACGTACATTTAGCATACTGATTATGAACCAGAATACAAAAAGCCTGATAGATCAAAAGTATTTTGTATGGGCAGTTGAACAGGAGGTGAATATATAACGCTTTTGTTCATCAATAACTCTTTGGCTTTGACCTGTCTGAGCAAGTCGTGCAATAAGGTGAAACGCAGGTCACAGCGTCTAACAAATATGAAAATGTGTAGTATTAAGCAGAACGGGGAGCTGCTGCTCCCCCAGCTCCATCGCTGCTCCCTGGGCAGCCCTAGGCGGGCTCGTCCGCTCCCGGGGGCTGCCCCAAAGGACAGCTCTCTTTGGGGGGCGGAGGGGAGTTACCCTGCCAGTTCAGCCGGGTGCTAAATAACGCCCGCGAGGGCGGGGGGGTATCCCCTCTCCCCTCAGAGAAAGGATGCGAAAGCGGGAGAGATGCTGAAAATAGCTGGGTAGGGATTTGAAGAATCCGGGGGGAGATTAAGGCTATAAAGTCGTTTTGAGGTGCACTTGCTGTGGAGGAGGCACCGCCGCAGTGGTCAGAAAGCAGACGTTTGAAAATAGCATCTCCCAGCCCAGGCACTTGGGAGCTGGAGGCAGCCAAACAACCCGGTACACATCGCTCGGATAAGCGCAACACCCCCAAATCTGCCCTCCGCAGTGGTTGGATGTATCACACCCGCACCATTATTTGTCCTTATGGTGCCTGTTTTAAATAGTGGAAGGAGAAGAGGTTGACCGCAGGACAGCAGTGAGGAGCTGGGTCAGACACAATTCATGAACTTTTGTACTCCTGTGTGCCGCTGTCGACAAAGTAAAAATAATGAAACTTTGTGATATGTTTGTAAATGATTTCGGCTGACCTCTCGCCCTGCCCTTCACCATAAACGCTACGGCAGGGAAAACCTGGGAGGGTGCGAGGCTAAGGCTCGCAGGCAGATCGCGGGGATAATAGCTAGACCAGCATAATAGGATGAAGGTAAATTTGGAAACTCTCTTTTTCCCGAGAGCAACTAACTCCAGCTTTTAACCTCATCTTTTTCACCAACCGCTGTTTCTGTTGTCGGCTGTTTTGCTTCTGTTTCGATTTTTCAGAAATTCTTTTTTATTTTGGGGGAATTTCTAATTATGGAGAATCTTTTCAGATTCGTGTTAGCCTAAATATTTAAAGACTCCTAGCTAAATTACTTTAACCATTATCATTCTAAATAGCGCAATTTGACTGACCACGTCCATTTTCCATAGCGAGGACGTAAGTGGCAGAGAATTTAAAGAAAGCGGCAGGTCTTTCTGAGAATTTGGTAGGCGAAATTCGTCGCTATGAATTGGTGGAGGGTCGTAAAGCTCTATTGCAGCAATAATAACAAGCGTGAATCTTTTCTGAAATCCCACCTTCCTGCAAATCTGTATTTCAGAACTGAGTCCCAGCAGAATAGTTTGCATTCCTCAGAAGACAGTAAGAGACTAAGAGAATTGCAGAGACCTGCTATATTGTAGATGAAAACAGAATGTTATTACGTTGTCTATATATACCCTGTAGAACCGAATTTGTGTGATATTCATATAGTCACAGATTCGATTCTAGGGGAATATATGGTCGATGCAAAAACTTCACCTTTCTGCAGATTGTTAGAAGTTAAAATACTGGCGGAATCAAGAGGCATGTGCGTGCTGAACACTCAGAAATTATAAAAGTTTTGCTGCCTCGCTCCTATTCGCTAGGTTTTAGGATGTTTCTTAAAACTTCGGTTGTCGTTCAGTCCTAACTCTCACTGACAATCTTTGAATTTAAACAGTTAAATTCACCAGAAGTTACAAAATTTCTGGGAAAAAAAAAAAAGATATTATATACCAATCAGTGAATGAGTCTTTTATAAGATACTCATAAATTAGCTAGATATGCCAGACGTTAGCAAAATTTCCCTGTCAAGGGTCCAGATCGCATCAAAATATTTACGACAGCACCAAAAGCAGCATTCGCCTCGCTGGAATGTATTTACTTGTGCTCCAGGAATGATATTGATGAATGAAGACCGAATTTATCTCATTAAAGCCGTGATATTTTTAACCTAATTAAATGACGTCTCCAGTTCAATTGATTGAACTTTAGCGGTTAAAAGTGAACTCTTTCTTGCCATCTGTACGATTTTATATACATACATGTGTAGATTTATAAATATACGTTGGCGTTTGCGTCTGTGCACGCATACGTTTGCACGCGTATATTTTGAGGCTTGAAAGTGAATGAGAAGTTACTGATTGCCTAATTTTATTCAGCAGAACTAAATTCTGGTAACTTTTGGATGACCTCTGCTAGACAAAGACAGGACAGATCTATTGTACATCATATTACCCTCTTCTTTGATGGCTTTTCTTTTCCTCGCCTGCTTATCAGTTTCTTCCCTTTTAACCCCGCTTCAGCTCATCGCTCTGTATATTCCTTTCGATTCTTTTTCTTATTTTTTTTAAAGCGAGGTACCAAGCCCCGGTGGCGATCCTGGCTAGTGGCTCAGACGGCAGGGCAGCATCCCCTGGGGCTGGGGGAAGCCGGCTCAGACAAAAGGCTGTGGGCAGGGCAGCGGCCGCCGCCCCGGGGTACCCCTACACCTCCGGTACCTGGTTTGCGGGTGCGGCCCGCCGGAGAGGGGGGTCATTCGGTTAGAGGGATGTTATTGAGTGGAATCGCTGGAAATGCGGGGAAATGCGGCGGTGGGCGCCCGGCTCCCCATTGGCCGGGCCGGTCACATGCCCGCCTAACTTTATTCAGTTGACAGCAAGTAGGAGGGCTCTATGGCAGGGGAAAAAAAGACAACACGAGAAAAATTAGTATTTTCTACCTTCAGAAATTAATGGCCATGAGTTCGTATATGGTGAACTCTAAGTATGTGGATCCCAAATTTCCTCCTTGCGAGGAATATTTGCAGAATAGCTACTTAGGCGAGCAGGGGGCCGAGTACTACAGTGCCTCGCAGGGCGCTGATTTCCAGCACCAGGGACTCTACCCACGGTCAAACTACAGCGAGCAGCCCTTTAGCTGTAGCAATGCCCAGGGCTCTGCCGGGCAGCCGCGGGGTCACGGACAGGAGCAATCCGGCCCGGCGAGCCACTTCCCCGGCCCAGCAGAGCATTGTCCACCGCCTCCAATGTCCAACTCGCGAGCCTGCAGCCAGCAGCCGGCCCTCAAACCCCCAAACGGCTCCGCAGTTAAGCAGCCGGCAGTAGTTTATCCCTGGATGAAGAAAGTCCATGTTAACTCGGGTAAGGATCCTCTTCTTACTTTGCTCTTCTCCCCTGCTTCCGATCGGCCTCAGCGGCGCTCTGCCGAGTCCCTGCCAGGCTCGTGGGCGAGCTTTTTAAGCCGAGGTGGCCAATTACACTCGCCATAAATTTTTATTGCTGAGGAAATAGGCCGTTGGCCATGCGGGGCTTTGGCGTGCAGGAGAAAACTCCATTTTAGGAGCCTTCTAGAGGCTCCCAGCCTACCTAGCTGCGTGTGCCCGTAGTGCCTGCCTCAAACGAGGGGGGAAAGCAGCAGCCCGGCCATTGTAAGCAACTGGGACGAATCCAGCTCGGCCACATGCTCGCAGCTCGTAAGGTTTTCTTTTGTAAAGTCGGACCGGCAAGTCAAGATTAGCTTTGTAAAAGTTCTCCGTATTTTTTTCCCAGTGAATCCCAATTACAACGGAGGGGAACCTAAACGCTCCCGCACAGCTTACACCAGACAGCAAGTCCTAGAACTGGAAAAAGAATTTCATTTTAACAGGTACCTGACCAGGCGCCGCCGTATCGAGATAGCCCACACTTTGTGTCTCTCTGAGCGCCAGATCAAGATCTGGTTTCAGAACAGAAGAATGAAGTGGAAAAAAGATCACAAACTGCCCAACACGAAGGGCAGATCTTCTTCCTCTGGTTCAAACCCCCATTTACAAACTGGTTCCAAGGACCATCAGACTGACTTGACAACTTTGTAGAAGAGGTGAAATTTTCCATTTCATCCTTCGCTTCTGACCAGTACTGTACATAACTGACACTGCCCAAGCAGAACCTGCATGTAGCAGCTAAGGACACGAGAAACTGTCATCTTTCTGTAAGGTACTGTTGTACAAAGGAGACAAAATGACGCTACTTTGGACTTTATTTTATTTGCCTCTGCTAGCACAACCTAAAAAAGGAAAACAAAAAAAAAAAAAAAAGGAAAGAAAGAGAGAGAGAGGGAAAAACAAACAAACAAACCATCATGCAGGCAGTGGGAATTGGGAAAATATTAAATGAGACCTTCTGTCCTTAAAAAAATAATAAATCATTGAAAATGAAACTGTCCTGTGTTTCAGTTTTGAATTCTGAAGTGAAGATTGGATGCTTTATTCTGGGATTTATACTTTTAATTGTCTTTTTATCCCATGCAATTTCGGGAGAATGCATTTTGGGCAAGTTGAGGACAGGAAATTCATAGCATAGTCTTTTATTCGAACATAAAGACTAGTAATTGTGAACTTTTTTTTTTTTGTGCTGCTTTACCTTTCTCGGTGTAATGAAAATTCTTGCTCATTTCCATAACGTCTCAGAAAGTGTGCATAGAAATGAAGTGAAAACGGGTTATTTTATGTTCTGGTAATGTTAGTGTATTTATTTATTTGTTGCATAGAAGAATGAAGACAAAAAGAAAAATAGTCAAACCAAAAACGAGGAAGGGGAGCTGAAATGCAGCATTTTTCTTCCCAGTCTCATGAACACATATGTAATGTTTACTTGTCTTGAACGTACACAACTTTCTTGTTCCCCCCCACCCTTGTTTTTAAATTTCCATCTTTGTGAATAGGAAAAGTGTCCCTGCTTCTTACCGTGTGCCATCCAGAGCTAACAGGCTTGAAATCTGTTTCCAAAGTCTGCTCTGTTCAGCGCTGTGCTTTAAACCATCGATACCTCATTTAAAAATGGAAAGAAAAAAAAGGAAAAAGAAAGAGGCGAGACCACAAAAAAAAAAAACAACCCCACAAAAAACAACGGCAACCCAGACTGAAAAATTAATGTAATTTCTGATATAAACTGAGCCATTCAAAGCTGAAAGCTGAACACATTCTTTCAACCAGATTTTAAATTTCTTTTCTGCTAGAGAGACATAGTCTATGTGGGTTGCTGGTTTGTTTTGTTTTGGGTTTATATTGGGTTTTTATGGCTTTGGTTTGTTTAGTTTTTAGGTTTGGGTGGGTTTTTTAAGATTGGGTAGGGTTTTTTTTTTGTTTTGGTGGGGTTTTTCTGGTTTTGGTGGGGATTTTTGTTGCTTTTTTTTTTTTTTTTTCCTTTTTAGAACAGTGATTGCTCTTAAGCAAACCATGACACATGACTGCAATGGCTGGAAATCTCAGCAAGTTGCTTTCAGGAAAGATGAAAGGCTTGGATGGGAGCAGAGCTGGTCTAATACCCACGAATTTGTCCCTGACTGCTGGTTGCCAAAGTTTTAGTGCTCTGTAACTACCAAACCAAACCAGCTCCCTGAGCCACTTACACCTCTGCTCAGGCGGTTTTAAAGCTCAGCCCTTATCTCCTGTACCCTCAGGGCAGCCTAGGAAAGGGACCACAGAGCCAAAATTGTAACGAGGTGATCCTTTTATTAAAGAGAAAAGTGGCGAGGAAGGAAACTCAGCAAACACTGAAGGGAGGTGGAAAGAGCAGGGGGTGAGTTAACGTGCCCTTCTCCAGGCTGGATGCTTCCCACTGAGAACTCACGGCTCTCTGGGCTCGCTCGGGAAAACGCTGGCCAAAATGGGCTTGAATTAATTCGAAAATAAAAGGCGAGCTTTTCAACAAGAGTGTATTCGGCAACGTTAACTGTGGCCAGCAGTTAATTTCTGCCCTTTTCTCATCCCTTGAAGTCCGCAAAGTGTCTTTAAGACTTGGTCTTTTGTTTTAGAGCCTGGAGAAAACTCTTTGTTCTTCCTTAGGGTTAGCCCAGTTCTCAGACTTGCACATGGCAATACTTGAATATCTCCACGTCGTGATATTAAAGATGGATATTCCCGCATTATTCGCATCATTGTTTCTATGACAAAAAGCACCGAGTTCATACATAGTAAAGACGTCTTTTTTCTGACGCCTTCACGTTGAGAAGCTGAAAAGGTATTTTACTGAAGTTCGGCTAAATTGCAGGAACAGGTTCACCCAGAGGACAAATTTTCTATTCGATTAGTTGTATTTCAGCCGGGAAGAGTGACCTCTAAACCCTTAACCTTTTGGACCCAAACTACCCTTCCCTTTCTCTAGCATGGAGAGCAGCTAGCAGCAGCGCTTGAGGAGGGAATTCCTGAGCCAAGTTTTCAAGTTTTGTTACACCAGGTTCCTGCAGTAGTGGCCTTTCCTCTGCAGAGCTGCTCGAAGCCATCCTTTTGCTCTTCATACGTAGCTATTAAAATAAAGAAGAAAAAAGGGGTGTGGGGAAGTAAAATCCCTCTAGCTACTCTTGAAAATCCTCCTCCCGGACCCCCGCTGTTCTCCTAAAGTCCGATAAGTTGGCTGCGAGCAGGGCAAAAGTGTTATTCGAGAGAGAGCTACCAACTTTGGCATCTGTGGTACAGTCCTGGAAAATACTGGCCTTGGATAAGCAAATCCTTGCTTTGTGCTTCTAATCAACCGAGATGGCTCCCGAAGTTAAAGGACCAACTTCTGCTCCCAGATTTCCTTCCCCCGCCCACTGAAGTCAAACAGGCATGTAGCTGCGAGCAGAATTTGTCTCATTGTCTTTTGAAATGGTAATAACTCCAGGACGAGTGTTGGCTTCAGCAGGCACAGCTCTTACAGCCCTGTTTGCACGTCCCCTTTGAGCGGGGCTGGAGCACTGTAGGTTTCCATAGGTGTGATTGCACCCTAAGACAGGACAATATGTGAAGTGGAGGCAGAGAGTACCAAACAGAAATAGTTTCAGCTGCCATTGCTCTGAATGGTCGGGAATGTCTGTAACAGTGACCAGCAGCACCCACTGGTCGTTATCCCCCGTGCTAAACGAACCTGGGTTGGTTTTTTTTTTTTCTTTCAATGGTTGTAACCCTCGTCCAGAGTTATTTTTTGTATGAAGGGAAACTGATTATTTTTGTTTATCGCGGGTAAACGTTGTGCATTGGAGCCTTTGTTAAACGGTCGCATTGTCCAGCACCGCTCTCATCTCTGTTAAAGTGTGATGCTTTTTATAGACTTTGCTGATGTTTTGCTGCCATTGATTAAAGCGTTATTTATACTAACTGTCGCCTGTAGTTTTGATGTAAGCCCTCCACGTACTTCTGAAATAATAAAAGGTGTAGAGAAATAGATTCTGGTTTGTACCTTGAACAATCAGTCCTTACAAGGTGGGTCTCTCTTCTGTGAAAATGCTGGTCCCTCCCATCATTACAGTGTTAAAAGATGAGTGACTCTGCATAGCATCCTTCCAAATGTCCCTTTGAACAGGTTTGCTGTTTGCCTCAGCCATAATGGTGTGACTCTAGGCCAAGCTGGAGTCTATATTTACTTTTGGGCTACAGTTAAAAGTGCCTGTCATCCATTTGCTGCTGCTTTGCATTTAACAAGCCCTCCTAGAATGACTCGTGGATTTCTGCATGTGTGGTAGGAGGTGAGGAGCCACACCTGAAGTCACCTCGATGCCCACACAGATGTGTCTCTTTTAGGTGAGTCCTAGAAAGAATCAATTAAATAAAGAAATGGAAATTCGAAATTGCAATGCAGACAGTAGTTTTTCCTGAGCAGTAACTCTCACTTTGACAGCGGATACAAAAGAAAGATCACAAGAAAACACAGCTTGGAGACTTTAAACTTTGCCATGCACCTATGGCAAGCATATTTTTATTTTTTTTTTTCTTCCCAGCGTGTCTCAGACGATAACACAGCCAGGAGAAGTCGATTGCACTATTTTTGTCATAAGTGCTTGTCAGTGAGGGCTTGTCCTCTCCTGGAGCGTGGTCAAGGCACGAGTCCAAAAATCCAGTCTCTGGCTCAGGCCGGGCAGGGAGCAGGGTGCCCAGCAGAAACCATGTGCCCTTACAGCCCAAGCGTGCCCAGGGGAGGCTGGGGTTGCCTTTCCAAACACACACTCGCTAAGTTTAAATATTGAGGCACATCTTGTGATTATACTTTCTCTCTGTGCTGTTTAATGGCTCCTCCTGTTACTCCCGATACATCAATACAGTTCTGTATATTATATCACCACTAGTCGTTAAGGTAAGAATGAAGAGGAAAGGCAGAGTCAATAGCAAACCCCACTCACTGTACAGTACAGTAAATAGGGACCTCTCGGTGCACAGCCACACCGCTTCCAACGGCCATGTTTGTTAGCCCTTTCCCCTGATTCTTTTTTCCTTTTTTTTTTTTTTTCCCCTCCTTCCCCCCAAGCCTAGAGACCAAAATAATCTTGCTAGGAACAGTCATAACAGGCAGAATTTCAAAGTGCAAGGAAGATGATAAGAATAGATTTCTACAAGTCCTGACCACGTGATTTGCGAAATAATTAATTCAGCACGTCCCTTAAGAAACACGGAGTCGTCATTAATCTGCCAAGCAAAGGACTCTATCAGACTTGAAAACTGAAGAGATCCCAAGAATATAATATACAAAGGGTGCCGTCCCTCTCCCTGCACACCTAGATCTTGGGCAGCTGCTGAAAAAGAGACGCCCGGTACGTAAATATTTTTTACTTTTATTCCTCCTTATTTAAGCCTTAATGAACTCAGCTGTCAAACACTTGACAAATAGGGCACGCTGCTTCCTGATTTCCAGCGCGGCAGCGGCCGGGAACCGGACCGGGCGCAAGCGATGACCTTTGCTTCCCAGGGAGCGGGGGAAAGGGGACGAGCGCGGAGCGCCGCGGAGCAGAGAGGCTGATGGCCACACCGCCTCCCGGAGCGGCGGCTTGGCCGCGGCTGCCTGCGCGGGGAGGCGCGGAGCGCCGCGGAGGAAACAATGCGGCTGTCAGGGCAGCGCTGCCCGG